AATTTTATACTGTTATTTAAATAGATCAAAACCAACTGACAGAAACTTGTCAGTATCTCAAATACATCTTATGTGAGAGTGTTGTGGTATGTTCCTTCATTTGCATGCCACAGCTGTATCACATTTAATAAGTTTGTAGTGCAAAGAAGAATGGCCATGCTTCAGGAATTTGGTACTCACTGATCCAGCTGTCACTGTGCTTTAATGCTCTGCCCTCATGCTGTCTTAAAAATGCAGGGAAAGAAAACCCAAAATTTGTGATTAGAGAATGTAGAGACTGGATGCTTCTCCACAGAATTACTCTTTAATTTCCCAATATGTTTTTATTGGCAATGATAGTCATACACCTACCAGCCCTGCCTCTTCGAGACTTACTTTTTGGGTTCTTTATATCCCTCCTTAAACCAATACTGATCTTGCCAATAAAGATAGGAGAGGTGACAATAAAGTAATTCTTATGTTCACAGGTCCTGGTGAGATTTAGGTGGGGGAATTTAGGCAAGAGAGGGAAGGAAGAGATGCCTTAGGTTTAGGTTTCCTCCTTAGTCCAGCACTGTACCCTGACTCTCCTCCTAGAAGATTATTCTGCCATTCCCAGCCACCATACCCCCATACTCACTGCACCCTCTTTCTCTCACACCCACACCTCACATTCAGCACTTGCCCAGCCTGATGCTTATTTCACACAATTTTAAATCTACAATATGTTCTTCCAATTACCACACCTTTACATTCTGGATGTTTACTTAATAAGTTTGCGTATACCACCAATATTTCATATAATAATTCACTAGTGTACCAGAGCAGGTTTGTGTTGCACTGGTAATACAAAGCAGTTGTAAACCTAGTTAAATTAGATATGTACTTCACCTTCTTTAGTTACTCAAAAGTGTTATAAAATAAATGGGTACCAAGCTTTTGGTAACTTACAATGTCTTACTATCATTCTGATGCCAGCCAAATCTAAAAAGATCACTGTAGAGGGATAAGAAGGGTATATTCTGGAGATGAGTGGGTCACTTGTTAATTGGGTATGAAAGAGCTGGGGGAAAAAATTGGTGTCTTGTCACAGAAAGAACTTCCCCCGGAAACATTTTGAATTTTAACAGTATAAGTGTTTTAAATGAGTTCCAAGTCTGATCAGCCTGATTTAATGGCAATTAATAATTAATCTAATTGATTTAATCAATAAAATATTAATTCACCTGTGTCATTTTGAAAACACTGTAATATTTTATTCTTTGCAAACAAAATAATTTACTTCTATCTTGCTAAAGTATCTCAGTATTAAATGCACAGTATTGGTTGTATTTGTTAAATTATATACTTCAGGGCCTTACCATAAAGTTCAGAGTCAAAATAAAATGCTTTTAACATCTTGAACTGGAGTTTTTCAACACTTGACAGTGTAAAATATTATGACAGCAAAGAAGTGAAGCAAGAAATATAGTTCATTTCAACTTATTCTCAGCAACAAAAGATGCCTTCATCGATATGTTCCTGTGGCATGTAACACAGCTGATTAACCTGTAGGTAGAAATCAGTTGTGTCAAACTTTTCTGACCATCTTTATGGTAAGGAGACTGGGTCATTGGCTGCTAAATGCAGTGTTGTCCATCATTCAGGTGAGTCTGTACAAATCTTAAAAAGGACTGTTAATTTTCATAGATCAATTTACATCTGTTCAAAAAATTGTTCAAATACAGACTTAACATTTTCAAATTGTTGATGAATCAATCATAGGAGAAAAAGCAGCGCAGTGTTATGTCATCACAAATTCTTCACAGCAATAATTACAACAATATTTCACTTTCTCTTTTAACAGGATAGGGACTCTTTGCCCAAGAGTTCTATAAATTTACTTCTCAGCATTGCCTGATGATCACATATCTCAAACATTAGTTAAAGTACTTGGCAGGAAGGCTATGTAAATCACCTCCTTTTGTTTTTAGTGCATTTGCCACATGTTGAAACAGCAGCAAAAAGATTAGTTGCTCATGCTAAGAAATCATTAAGTAGATAAAAATAAAGCACAAGAACACAAGTCCTGTCAAATGTGGGAGTATAGTCCAGTGGAAAATAAAATCACTTACCTTGAACAGAAGCTTACTCAAATTATTTGCATATAGTGAAATGTCTCTTTTCTAGAATTTTCTTATAAAAAGAGAACCCTGCAAACAGCCCTGTTGGCTCTATTTGCACTATTTGTGGAATAAGGAGCTACTCATCTTGGTTAAAAAATCTGAGTCTGGCCTTAAGCCAGCATTGGCCAGATTCTGCCATCCTTACCAGAGCTGAATAGTACCTTAAGCTGGGCCTGATTATGAACCGATTACTCATGTTGTGCTGAGTGGCCCTTTGCATGAATGGGGCCATTGTGAATAAACATTTACAAGTGATTCACAATTTGGCCTATGTGAGTAGTCTCACTCACATCAATGCATCTACTCATGGAGTAAAGCACTACTAAATAAAAGTGGCAGAATGTGACCCTGTTGTAGTACTTGACATCTAACACGAAGATACTTTTTCATTAGCTAAATGAAAAGCTGCAACCAACAGACTATCATTCATTCTTTGAGACGAGGCTGATGCAAGAGCATGACAAGCTTAATGCAGGCCTGCAACTTATCACACCTCAGGTTTAATGAAGGGTTGAATACCTGTTTGTCTAATGCAGAAAGTTATGCTAGCAACATGTAACAAATAATTTCCATTGCCAAAATTGAGGATGAAGAATTAATTAGAACTTTATCCCTTTCACTTAATTAAAATCAG